CATGTCTTCAAGCAACTCGATCACTTGGGAAGGAGTCATGTTCATAAATTTTCCTTGACATAAGGAGTCAATAAGGATCTTGTCATCTTGGTGGAGACCGCCATAGAAGGTCTCAATTCGAAACTGCTCCACGAATCCATGATGTGGGCACTGGAGGAAGTAATCCGAGTACCTTTCCCATGCATCCCTCAATGTCTCGTCTTCTTCTTGCTCAAAATGGGTGTTCTTGTGCCTCTCCGCCGTCTTTGAAGGTGGGCAATACTGAATCATAAACTTGTTGAGCATGTCGTCCCACGAGGTGATTGAGAGAGTAGGTCTATTGTTGAGCCACCAAGACGCATTTCCACCAAGAGAGTATGGAAATAGCCTCAACTTCAAAGCATCTTTGGGAACCCCATTGATCTTCAAACTCCCCGCAAGTTCAATGAACTTTTGAACATGCTCCCTTGGGTACTTATTGCTAATCCCATGAAATAGGGCATTGCTTTTGGATCATGGTGACGAGGGCGGGCTTAATCTCGAAATTGTTGGCAGCCATGAGCGGATGTCGAATGGCGGGTTGTATATCCGCCGCCTGTGGGACCATATAGTAGCCCATGGTCCTCAGTTGTTCCTCAGTCACTGCTCCAGCTGGAGCACGTTGATTAGCTGCCATATCGTCTTCACTTCCTTCCTTTTTGGAATCAAAACCTTCCTCAACTACAACTTCCTCTTCGATCCTCCTTCTTGCTTTCGCCAGCTCCCTCTCACGAGCCAAGTGTCGGAGAGTGCGGTTGAGATTCTTGTCTAATGGCGCCAAAGGTGTCGGATTGCTCCAGGTCATACACCTGGGCACACACTTGAGAAGAACCACAACTCGTCTAACACAAGCAAGATTCACAAACACAAAAGCAAAAATTAAAAGCTAGATTAACACCAAACAATCTTTTCAAGATAATGAACATTTGATCCCCGACAACGGCGCCAAAAACATGACTCGTCCCGAATGCCACAATAAAACTACCATAAGGCCCAAGTATAAACCTCAATTGGGTTCAATATAAGGGAAGTATGTTTACATGTCAACCCGGGCCGGTTCATGTACACCTACTTCGATTGTTCGAAACATTATCTAGCGAATGGTTGTTTATTTGAAAACTATGATCTATTATTGAAACGAAGGCAAAAGTTATTGGTTTTGACACTTAAATGATAAGGATTCGCCCGAGTGTAGCTCCCCATAACTTGCTACCACGACTTGTCAGAATGACTAAAAATGCATGGTGTAGGTGATTGAGAACCGTTAGCGAAGAGTAGCAAGTGATGAAGCATCACCCTCTCGGACCCAATGCAAAGGAAATTGGGATAGGCTACTAAGGTAGCTCTCTTGGCCTATTCGACTAAGGGCTACTAAACCTTCACTCTCGAATTGGAATTCGGACTGCTAAAGCACAATCGACCTAGGTGCCAACACAAACAAGGAGGTTTGCCCTACATTAACCTAGATAGGAGACATGATTTGCCTAAGAAAACCCAGCTTTACAAGCCTCTTTTACTAAAGGAGTTTTCTCTCTACCTAGGTTAGAATGGCAAACTGATTGATAGGCAAACACACAACACAATCTTCCATGAAAATACCTCCAAATTCGTATTAAACACACCCACACATAAACAATCATTCCATACAATCAATCACATGGTAGAAGTTAGGGTTCAAAAACATCCAAGTGAAAAGGAAAACTACTCCATGCTAGAAGAGGGGAAAACACAAGGAGAAAGAAGAAAAACCATCATGGAGGTGTTTGAATCCTTCCTTGTGTAGAAGAGATCTTCCTTTGGGGAAGATTTTCCCAAATCCTTGCCTTGGAATGAAACCCTAGCTTATTCTCTCTTCTTGTTCGACAATTTCTCTCTCTAGGATTCTGAAGACGAAGCTTTCTCACTCAAGGTCTCCTTTTTCTTTTCCTTCAGCTCAAACCTCCTTATATACCCAAATTGGCTCAAATCACGGTCCCAGATCACGGCCGTGAACTGAAAGCACGGACCGTGATCTCAAGTCAAAACGCGTCGCTTCCCTAAGCTCGGTTCACGAACAACGGCCTGAGTTCACGGTCTTACGATCGTGAACTAACTTGAGTCCAGTGAGACTGAAAACTTCTCTAGTCTCCTGGCGGTTCACGGCTAGCGGCTCCAGTTCACGGTCTTAGTGACCGTGAACTCACAGCTCCCACCGTGATCTGCTGCTTTCTCCATCCTTTGACTTGATTTTTCACCATTTCATCCAACTTTCGACTCCGGGGTTGGTTCCACCTGCCATAGTCTGGAAAACACCCAAACGAGGCAAAACCCGCCATAAAACTAAACCTCCCGGAGTAAAAATACCTCAAACGACTAAGGAAGCTGGGGGTAAAAAGTGTACAATTGAGCCCGAATCAGTCATAATCAATAAATACCCTAAAGATTACTTTGAAATAATGAATTAACTAGTTTAGAAAACCTCAAATTATTTAAAACATGAAGAAATTGATCAACATAAAATAAAATTCATTCGACCAACAGGTCGGGTAAATATTTTAAATATAATTATAAATTAACCAATGTAAAGGATAAAGCAAAACTCATTCGAGCCAACGTCGAGTAAAAGCTAGTAATATAAAGGGTTATAGGTATATAGTGCCCCTCTACTATGCAGTTTTATCAAACACACCTCTGTACTTTAGAAATATTATCAAACATGCCCTTATTTTAAATTTTTCATAAAAAATGGTCAACCACATTTGAACTGTGAACATAGGCCAATCCAAGATTCGGTCGTGGTTGACGGTTTTCGGATGCAATTTTCTGCGGAAGGGCATGTTTGATCATTTCATTTTTACAAAGTATAGTGGCAAGTTTGATGCAAAAAAATAATAGAGAGACATGTTTGATAAAACTGCATAGTAGAGGGGTATATTATAACGATAACACTAATATAAAATAGGGTAATGACTAATTATTAACCAAACCTATCGAATTACTAATAATTAACAATAATTCAACATTGTACTACTTATTAGCCAATTTTTATAGAAAATTATTAACTGTAAAAGAGAAATGACTAATATTTTTATGTATATAAAACATTTGGCTAATGATTAGTAATTCAATACGTTTGGCTGATAAAAAAGAAGGCGGATAATGTTTGGCTAATAATTAGTAATTATCTTATAAAATATTAGCAAAATGTTAACTTCTTGTTAGCAATTTTGTTAGTAATATTGACTTAGTAACATGATATTGGCTTAGAAAAGACTCGTGAAGGTTAACATTCTAAATTTTAGTATTATAACTAAAAAAAGAGTTAATAAATTACCAACGGTAAGACAAAATGGCTAATATTTTGATGTATTATAGAAGATTTTGCTAATATTTTGTATTTTGAAATTTTTGTGTAATACTTTGAAAAGTTTGGCTAATAAATTGTACGGGTAATATATTTGTATGGTCTGAACTTTACACATAATAAACATCCTGACCAATCTTTTCGATCTATAACATCATGGCCCAAACTATACACCAAATTTACGAAATTGGCCATTTATATTTTTCATTTTGAACCAAAAAAAAAAGGAAAATTAATTTTGGGTTTTCGGATCCCTCGCGTTTACCCTACCTTAATTTTTTTTGTTCCAAATGAAAAAAACGGTAATCGATGGAAAATATAAAAAAATTAAGTGAAATGTGCTGACTTGGCTATCACGTGTCGTGTTTTGGGTTTGGCCAATTTCATAAATTTGGTGTATAGTTCGGGCATGATGTTATAGATCGAAAAGATTTGCCAGGATGTTTATTATGTGAAAAGTTCAGGCTATACAATATATTAACCCTAAATTGTATTTACCATAATTTTTACTATATTTTTCACTAGTATTTAGTATCAAAGTTTTGGCTATATAAATGTATTGAAAATATGATGGTATTCCCGCAACGGGAATACCCGACCAGCTTTGGCAAATACCCCACAGGGTATTTTTAAGGGGAGACCGAGTATTCAGCCCAGAAGCACCCCCGGCTGGTGCGTGTAAATACCCGACCGGGTATTTGGACCGGGTTCCAGGTCTGTTCGAGTTGGCCTTCCTTTTAGGTTTAGGTTTTTGTTTCTTTTTTAGTTTTTTTATTATTTTATTTGCTCTGAGCAATATAAAGGGTTGTAAAGAAGAACTTTACAGTTTAGGTTTTGATGAAAAAGAATTTTACACCGAGGTGTGTTTTTTCCCCATGGAGCATGAGTGCTTATGGTTTATTGTTTTAGTTTTTTGTGGATTCCATAGGTAGGACAAGATCCTTATTTGAGTTTTTTTTTTTTTTTTTTTGTTGAAGATTCCAGAAGAGCTTGGCAAAACTCTTATCAATCAAGCGATCACACTTGACGAGTATCTACCCCGCGTATCCCTTTATTTTTATGTTCGTTTGAAGATCGAATCAAGTTATCCAAGCTTGATTGAAGTTGTGCGACTTCAACAAAACAACCTAAACTTTCACGACCTCGGGATCTTATCAATATATATGAAGTGCGTCGAGTCATGTCGAATTGTCGCTAACATGTGCGTTGATTCTAGTTTTAAATTGCGATGACTAAATTTGTCAAATAACACCATTCAAAATTTGACTATATTATGCATTTCTTTAAAAGTAACTATTATTATCACAAAATGAATAGCTCTAAGGTAAATTTTACACAATAATACGAGAATAAATTTGGTATCACTATCTCCTAAAATGATGAAGACCAACAAGATCCTACTCTATTCAAATGGCTCAACTTGGCGGACAAGAGCGTCAGCCCGTAGTAATTGGAGTTATAAAACAGGAGTTGCCAGGTGCTCACAGTTTTTCCGGCATGTACATACTAAACCAAAAGAGCACTCAAGTAGTTATAGATTCTAGCCTTTATTGCGTAAATAAACACTGCAAACACAAACAGTAAAGTTGCATCCATGTACAATTCATCCCAACAGTGTATAAACAAATATTATGTAATCAACTCAACCTTCAGTTCACACCAAACCGATAAATCATTGAACTCCCATAAGAATTCAATAGGTAACTCCATTCACCCAACAATTCGATAACTAAGATTAGCCCAGCAGACAGCCACAACCCAAAAATTAAAAAGAAATCACCGTAGCTCATAATTACTCTATAGACAACTCTCCCTTGGAAACACCACTGATTAACCTAGCTGATAGCCCTACCTCATACCAACTCTGTAGACAACTCCCTCAGAAATACAACTGAAACATAAACAGAAAGCTATGATCAAACTACTAGTTAACTTGTGAGGAAGAAGATGACTGTCCCTTATCAACAATATGCATCATTGCTTTTCCCTTCTTTCCCCAATCTATCACCTTCTCCTCTTTTGGATTGCTTGTACTTTCCTTCTCTGAAACTGGTAGTCTGGGTTTCGGGTAGGTGTAAAGCCTTATAAAGCTTGGCTTGTGCTCCATTTCTCTGGGAAAAGAGACCAATCTCAAGATCTTCACATGTCCCTTGACGCCCCAATCTGGACCATATGAGTTTCTGCAAATAAAATAGTAAATCTTTTGGCCCGTCTCCAGTTCCCTGTACCCATGTCCAACCAGCAGCATAACATGATCGAACTTTGGATTTTCTTTTCTATCTGTCGGACCTCGGTAAATACCATTCTGCAAAACCATTAATAAAACAATTCATTTCGTTAGTCAACAACCATCTAACGAATTTTTTAATGTGACAAGAAGAAAATTGAAGACAAGTTTGAGCAATTAAAGGTTCAAAACCATCACCACTTAGATATCAAAATTCGAATATCCAGAATTTGAGATCATTTGCATACAATCACCAAATGGGAGTAAAGAGAATAAAAATTACCCCTTTAAATGATAACAATGATGGATAAGCCCTCACAGAGACCACCACTGGTCTCTTTTTCAGTTTCTTCAGTAGTTTTTGCTCGTTTATACGCTGATCTTGGACTATTTTGTAACCTCCTATATAGAGGAGTTCTCTTCCCGGCTATACACATACAAAAGCACACGAATTCGTAAGCATGCAATCGACGATTCTTTAGAAAACTAAAAAGAACTTGAATAACAAAACACACCACCAAAATCCCTTGCATTGGCCTGTCTTTATCCAAGTTGGGCATCTGTGTAAACCCATAATTATCTTCCTTTGACAGTCCATTATCGAGTATGTAGTCCCAGCCGATACTGATCCTAGTAGGCATCTTCTTTCCTATCTTTTCTTCATCAGTCAACTTCCAATCTATTATCTCCTGTGCTGATGCCTTCCACCTTGGTTTCTCCTCAGTTAGATTGAGCATAGCTTCAGTAGCTAGGGCTATTGAGACAGCCCAGCACACAGCTGAAATTAAGACAACGAAGTACATAAAATGACTAGCGATATATAAAACATAGGACAATCAATATCAAAACGTAATTGTTAAAAAACAACTAAACAAAAGAAGACTTACGATAGTCTCCTTGGTCCTGGATTTCCTTACGTACGATACCAAGCGGTCTCCAATCAAATTCAATAAAATCTTCACCGGGATCCTGTGAGAAAAAGAAAACTGCCTATGTAAGTTAATCTACCTAAAACCTAATTGAGGTAGACAAAAAAATATCACAACTTACCACTGGCTCCTCAATCTCTTTCTCTTTAGATTTCCCTCGAGAAATCTAAGATTTAACAGGAGAAGGGCTGAGTTAATATATCAAAACTCCAAAGAGGAAAAAAATTTGGAACCTTTGTTCTTTTCCCAAAACCAACCAAAGACAAGCAAACAGCATAAGTGACTGTTCCCCCTAGGCTAAGGCACCTTTAAGAGACTTGAGTACAATTCCAAAGAAGATTGACACGTATACTACAAATCTTTCAATGTACTACAAATCTTTGTAAATGAAATTCTAATAAAAAAATGAGGGAGTACAACTTACTTTTCGAGATGCTGGCTCCACACGCTTGCTCTTCTTTGATTTCCCTCCAGCCATCTCCTTCTGAAATAAGCACTTCACTTTTAGAACAAAATCAAGGGCTGAACATTTTAATTTAATAGAAGCTACAAAATAAGCTTTTCAAACTCCTAGCAATGTGGTATGAACAAATGAACATATATAATATATAAGCTAAACAATAAGCTAATTTAAGATCCTAGCGATATGGTATTCATGTAGGTGTAGTGTAATACCACAGTGAACACTAACCCCCATATTTCCTGCCCACTGAAACGATAAAAGAACACTTGAAGAAAGGAATCATGTTGGATCAAATATATAGTCCTCTTAAGCTTTTACTTACGAGAGTAAATAATCTTCTCACGCCAAGCCAGGCTGCAATGCAGTGTGCTGTTGATGTCTCTCACATGACTTTGTTTGACTAACTGACACTAATGTCTTTGTTCAATCAAGCCAATGTTGCTGATGTTCAAGAACCGACTTGGCTGACGAGGCCCTACGGATCTCTAGCATTCATTTATAAAAGGTCAGAGGTCACCGAGGCCAGGTAAAACTAAAGGGAAAAAGCAACTCACTGGAACCATAAGTCAGAGGTCACCAAGGGCAGGTAAAACAAATGGGGAAAAAGCAAGTCAGTGGAACTTAAATGAAGTTTAACGACATATATCATTTTTATGTACCTAGATGTATATTACTTGCATTTTCGAATTATACATTACGCTAAAGAACAAAATCACTAGAGGTAGTAACAGTATCTACTGAAGAAAATGGAGAAAAAAAACATCGGGGCACAATGGCTTGTTGCTTATACCAAACGCATCATGGACAAAAGGATATTAGCAGTCCTAAAACAGCATACAAAGTTTATGGTGGGGATCGCCGGATAAGCCTCCCTGTAGGCTGTCCTAAATGTGATTGGCACTATTTTAAGACCCAAACATCCTACATAATGAACTAAATGAAATTCAATTACTTGGAAAACAGACCAGTTTACCTGCACCTCCAATTCCACAACTAACATATTTAGCTTTCATTGTCTTCACTGCCAAGTGCAAGTCATCTATTAGCACTGCAAAACAGTGGAATATAAACTTCAGAAAGGAAACCATATCAGCAACGAAGTAACTTAAGCTATACAAATGAAAAGGGCTAGACAAACTACGCTCAAGGCATCTACACTGGCCATATCAATGGCAAGACCAACATCAACTGTTATAACCTTAGTAAACCTAAGAAAGAATAAACAATTGGATTGTAAATCAACCACAAAGAGTACTTTGCATGAATGCAGCAATTACTTTGACACATCATGACAACAATCCATGTATAAGTTAAAAAGGACAGAAAAGCTCCTGCAAAGGGCATTTTCTGGTAGGCTCTATGAAGTTATAGTCTGTTTGTTCAATTTATGTACTTGTCTAAGCATGCACCGCATTTAACAGGGATCTATCCTTCGAGAAAATCATTGCAACTGATATGGCACTACCTGTTTTGAAATGAAGGGACATGACAAATGATTTTTTTTTTCTCTTTTTGCTTGTCCTACAATTGAATTGATTCATGAAAGGAACTTCTTCTCAAACTACATAATCCCTAGTCTGAAACTACCCCTTACTCGTGATAAGAAACTATGGCAGTTCATACCTATCGTCCCACTATGAACAGGTTGCAGCTTGGCAGCATCACTACTTCCCAAACTTTTAGACGGAATGAAGACAATAATGTAAGAGAATAGAATTCTTACTGATAAGAATCATTCTACTGGAAGAAATAACCTCGATTTTGTTAAAATCGGGGTACCAAATGAACTCTTTAGCAAGCACATATATGTTAGGCCTCTCCTTATCATTAAAGAAGGCTCCGACAATCAGGGAAACAAACCAAAGGCAAGCATCAAGTTTTTCGAGCCTATAATAATGTTCCGGGCAGCAAGTTTGGTAAAAAAAGGCAAGCATCAAGGTTTGCTAGCCTATAATAACGTTCCTAACAGTTTTTTTTTACCCCGGATAACACCTGAAGACAACAAATTCAGCCAGAGGTACACGATCGAATAAAGTATTCGGAAGTGATGTAACATGACAGATCACCCAAATCAAATGCAGTTCCTAATAGTTTTTTTTTTTTTTTTACCCTGGATAACACATGAAGACAACAAATTGGGCCAGAGGTATGATCGAATAAACTCTGCAGAAGTGATGTAACATGATAGATCACCCAAATCAAATGCAGTTAGTTCATCCTTTATGGCATTACAATTTGAGCCAAATTGTGTCATTCTGTACACAACTGGTGACAAACAAAGTATAGAAGGGAGAAAAGGAGTTTAATTTTTCCTGCCAAACTCTTGTATTCTTGCCTCCATCATATGCGAGAATGACCAAACACATGCTGTTAAGGCTCATTTAATCATTTAATTGAAAGGTGAATGAACTGGACATAAAATTTGTTTTATTTTCGTTGAATCTATGTTAGGAGAATGCTGAAGTGTAAAGTCAGAACAGGAAAAAGAAGAATTTTGCCAAGTGGCAAATCTCGAAATAGTATAAAATTTTCAGGAACAAAGTGGCAAATCTCGAAATCCATATTTTCCAACTAATGAAGCTTAGGTAAACGCCGACTTTCGTTGAGAAAACGTATCCACAACAACAGGTAACAATTCAGTTCAATTTTGAACTTCGAGGGACTATAGTAGGAGAGTGAATACGAAACTTGATAATCTAACATGGCTTGTAGAACAGAAGAAGATTGTAAGCTTCAAAGTAGAACATCAATTAGCATTGAGATTTCAGAAACTGAATCAGCAGTTACAAATGGATATAAGATGCATTCCCAGGGTCAATATTAGAGAAAGGTAGGAAAAACCATTAAAGTAGAATTCAACATACAAAAATAGGAACCATAAAACATGAGATACCTGTTTGTATCGATATTGTGTCCCTCTATATCTCACTTGAGCTGATTTGGAGCTGTGATTGGAGGAGATGAACGAAGGCCACCTTTATGCAGTTAGAGCAGTTGCTTCGAACAAAACTGCAGTATAAATAAAAAGAACCCGTTATGGGCCTGATGCACTAATTCATGCATGTATTTCTGTGAAATGATAAGCTACAGAAGTGTGTGTTTCAATGTTGCAAACTATTCCAGGGATAAGAAATACGATCATCCAGCGACCGATAGTGTACCAATGTAATATGATCTTTCATAGCTTGCTCCAAACCTGTCAAATTCAACATTTCAATTGAGGAAATCAATTCACAAACAAAACCACAAAACAATCGAAAGATAGTATCAAACCACCTAGATTGAGTAATTAACCAACACAATGAAACCGTAGAATCAACTGCAAAATTAAGATAGTCGAACAAAGATGTACGGTAAACACAGATGTTTGGGGTTCTAGTAGCTAGCAGACCGAAAGATGACATTGAGGCATCACTAACCTGATCATGTGCTACAGTGTTACAATTAGTGAACCCCACAGCAAGTTTGTTCGATTTGTGTGTCGAAAGCATCCATCTGCTTCAAGGTTAACCCCAAACTCCATACTATCTAACATCGCAATGAGGATACATAACTATGTGTTCCATGTTCCTGAAGAAACAATAGAGAAGTTAAACTAAATGTTGGAAAGGAATTAGTCAAAGCACGAACTGAACTCAAATGAGGTTCGAATGTTAAACTAAATGTTGAAAAGGAAGTAAGCAAAGATGTTAAACTAAACTTTGGAAAGGAAGTAACAGCAGAACCCAAAAGCTTTTATTTAACCATTTGGAGCAGCCAGTTCAATTCAACTCTAAATAGATTCTAAGGGCTAACTGATTTCTAGCTCCAAGTCATGGAAGGGAAGAAATTGTACGGTGCATTGAGGCATCATACCCCATTCCCGTTTCAAGCTTTCCTGCAGAGGTATCGGCAAAGGAAACGGCACAATAAGGGTTCACAAAAAAACTGAAATAACAGTCAAAACTTTTAGGAGCCAAGTGATAATTCGCAAATTCCTTATTGCCTAACAAATGAAACTAACTTGAGTTAATAGAATAATAAACACGAAGTTAGCATCTCTCTCCAGCATGAGTAAAACTTAAAGAGACCAGAAATCAAATACTAACCTAATATGTGTCGTTTGGACTGTCACCCTGCCACTCTCTCCCTCTCCCTCCCTCTCTCTCTGCAATTCAGTGGGTGGAGAGGAGAACCCATGGCAGCTCTGTTCTGTAACAGACCGTCTTCTCCCCGATTTTCTGATCTTCTTCCTTCTTTTTCTGCCTTCCTGTTTGCCCTCTTCATCTTCCTAAGCTGCGACCAGGAGATTTGATGGGGGAAAATCATACTCTTAAGTTTATGCATAGAACTCACTTGTTGTCTTCTTCATTGCATTCTCCATATCACAGCGAGAACTTCCTGCACGCGGATCAATCCACCCAAAAATATGACATTTAGTTAAGGTAGAACATCCATTAACATGATTCAACCAAACGTGGACCTATCACACAGTAACATTAAAAAAAAATAACCCAAAAGGTAAATTATTTGTCTTCTTTCTCCTCTGCTAAATCAACACTCTCACATTCTTCCCTCTGCCAACCAAATCATGAACCAAATCCATTTAGTATGCAAGCCCAAAAAGGCTAGAGCTAAAAATCCACAAAACAAACATACGAGTTTGCCTGACTCAAAGGTACCAAAAAGCCTGATGTTTGCTGACAAGCCTGTGAGTCGCACCAGTTTTGAACCACGTAGCTCATTTTAATATCAACAACTCCAATGGTCGCTCCGAGGATTTCAGTTTTCGGCCGGCAGTAGAGTCTTCTTGACTGCTGAAATCTACAAAACTTGTCAAAAATCTCAATATCAATCCTCCCTCTTGATAAAAGGAACATATACCAAAAATAAGGCGTGATGTTACACAAATTACCTACTTTTTTTTACCCTAGAGGTCATTCCTTGTTACAATGAATGAAGGACTTCAAGAACAGACAGATTGTCAATACATAGGATGCCTTAAAGATTGAATAATCCCCAAAACAAACCCAAACCAAAAAAATAAACCCAGATCCAAGACAACTTTGAATCATTGAATAAAAGATATAGAGACAATTTTAGGGGATCGGATACAAAATCAAAAGCTCTATCCTCCATAACAAAAGAACAACATAAATAAAAGCGATAGATCTATGAACTGGGAATCTTGAATTGGCTCTGTAATACAGAGCTGGACAAGTAGATGAAGGAAGGGATAGGGATAGTTGCAACCAGTAAAGATTCTCCCCAACCTTTACGATGTCTGTGTAGTTAGATCTCGTCTCTTCATCGCCACCTCCATATAGTTCGAGAGTTCTATTTGGTTCTTTTTGAAGAGTTTTGGGAGTGGATGAAGTGGGTGGAAACTCATGGCTTCAAACGAAAAGGGCTGTCTTTTTATATTTTCTTTCCAGTCTTCCTGTCCCACATCAGATCGTGGAACTATTGTCTACGATCCGTATCCCTTGCAGCGCCGTTCCTCACCGGCGGATTTAAACCTATCCACAAATGACCGTTTTGTCCCTAGGGTTACATCGCAATTACGCGGCCATGCCACCGCCTTTTCGCGAAATCACCATAATGCCCTTCCCCCGTCTCTGAATTAAAAACGACGGATTAAAAATGGCGTTGCTGGGTTTCGAACCCATCGTCACGCGGAATTAAATGTCAAATAGCAAGTTAACCAGTTGGGCTGCTGGCCCATAACGAATTAATTCAACTTCCCTGTTTAATTTCATTTGTTCAAAACCCTTAATACGAAATGTGAAATGCGGATTAAGTTAGCTTTGCTTCTTGTCTGATAAATCGAATTTCTTCAAATTCTTGCATTCATCTTAGTAACATCATAATAATCTAAATGAAGTTTTATTAACAAAAATATAGGGGTCGTTTGCTTGATGGATTTGGGACTCAAATCCCAAGCATGATGGATTTTAGCCAAGTCCATTGTTTGTTGTTAGGTGTTAAATCCGTGGGGTCCACGGATTTGTTCCCTTTTTTGGATCCAAATCCGTGGACCCCACGGACTTGTAAATCCCACATATTGGGGTGGGATTTGTAAATCCTTGATGGCTAGTTATATTTATAGCAAATCCATCATAATTATATCATCAAATCTATCATGCAAACAATAGACTCTTCAAATCCATGATGGTACAAATCCCTCATAAATCCAAAGGTTTTTTTGAGCCAAAACCCTCATTTTTCAAATCCAACAAGCAAACGACCCCTATAATACGAAAATTACGTTCAGTGGAACGTGGTAAAAGTCATACAATTAAACTATCAAAGTTATAACGAACTACGTGGACTTTGATCCCGTCTAACGGGTACGTAGGCAACCGATAAGGTTCGAGTCCAACAAACTAATCAATTTTATCTTTTAATTTTTACGTCAGTGGGCGTATAATTAAATTACAACTAATACGATAAAATCATTAAATAATCCAGTGGGACCCCAAAAATATAAATGTATTACTAAAAATACACCCAATTCGTATAAAAACTTTTCGACTAAAGTAGTACCGATTTAGGGCGTTGTGGGGTTTGATTTCACTTCCCCACACGTAACCCTACTCCCGAACCCATATCGCTTAACCGCAGACCATATCTCAGTTCTGACCCTAAGGTTAGAGCCGACCGATGAGTGTTCGATCCACTCCTAGTAAGATCGATGGCGACTCCCAAAAATGCCGATGCGACGACCCGACGGATCCCCAGAGGGATGGTTGCGACACCCAGTAAGAAAAAGCTGCATGTAGACTTAAGGATCTCTATGCACAACCCACATCACAAGAATCAATAGCAAAATTATTTTCAAACCCTAAAGAAAAGTGAAAAATTTCTCATTCTTTGAATTAACATCATGCAAAAGATACTCATATAAACAGCTGCAAGTCTACTTTTACTGAAAGTTGAAGCAGCCAAAAATTGATTGCGAAAATATTGATATGATAGAAGTTAAAGGTTTATGGCATTCCAATTTTCTCCTCAAATTCTCAAAATTTTGCAGATAAGAAAAACAACCTTAGCATATACATTTAGGAAGGACAACTAAAAAAAATAAGAAACTACTTGCAGAGAAGCGAAAGGGATAAGCTAGAGGAAGGAGGTTTTCTTCAAATACCTGCCTAATATATTTCTGTAATTCAAATAGGAGCAGATTCATATCAGTAAACTACATGAATGCCAATATGCTAGATCAATTCCACTTGAATAGTAATCAAGTAGTCAAACTATACATTGTGTCAAATGATATAATGTCCATACTATTTCTAAGCGGAAAAATTTGATAACGGTCAGAAAAATAATAATACTGAACTCAAGGGAAGTACTATAACCCACTATTGTATGAACAACCAGAGGGCGGAACCATGCTGACCTCGAAGCCAACAACTAAACCAAAGGCTTTGAAGAAGGCAGTAGAACCCTAAATTTAACTACAATCAAGCACAAATCAGCATGATTTTTTATTTGTCTGAGAGTCAACTACAAAGAGAGAACCATTGAAGCATATCTAAAATACTCCAAGCAAGTTGAAGGCAAATCATAACTTTAAGATTTGGTCATTATAATAACTTTCAAGTATTGATGCTTCTGAGAACTATCATGCCCAACCCCCACTTATACAACTACATAGACATAGTTAGTCGTATAATGAAGAAATGTTACAAAGAAAACTACATAAACAACCAATGTAGGTAAATGTTGAAACTAACAACTGATAAAACTTAAAAGCTATATATTGGTTTAAATGTAACTTTTAGTAACTACTATGCAATCGAGTATAGATGACTTTTAGGCTCTAAATAAGAAAAATAGACGGCTCACAAATAAAGATCAAGCAACTGAAAGTAGTACACAAAAATCAACAATAGAAAAGGAGATATGAAAAAAGGCGTGAAACAGTCAAACAATAGAAAAGCCTGCATAGGAAGACCTCGCTAGCTCTAGAGACTCTCTGTCACAACAGATAATCCTCTAAAAATCTAAAACCCTCATACATCAAACAAACCTCCCACAACACTAATGTATGACATGCATATTTTCCAATAGTTTTGTCCAATTTAAACTTCAAAACGAAATTCAAGCGTTGGATTACTTCTAAATAAATAGATTTTTCGCCATTAAACCAAAACTCACAATCACTAAGAGTTAATGCAAAGACATATATTTCTCAGGCCAATCACAACATTTGAGCACAACTTTTTGTTGAAAAGAACAACTGAGCATCTAACTAAACGATATAGTAGAATGGGTACAATCTACTCCTACTAATGATATAAACGTATAACAGTACCATCGTTGTATCCTGACCTGCCATTTGCGATGGGTTACTTTGAAAGACATTCGCATTTTAGAGAACAAACACCCATAAGGGGATTACACAACCAAGCTTAATCCAAAATCTTCATATTCCACTTTAAAGGTTCCACTTTCCAAAATAAGAGAGTTTAACATGTTAAATCACTCAGTTGAAAAATCTCAAACAACTATCAATCAATGCAATATAAAGGCATGTTCTAAATTATGTACATGTTGGAATAATCCCAAATCATTATAAATTAATTCCTCAACTACCCGATGATGGAATATATTGTTGTTTGCATCTACATTCAAACATAGTTGCATCACGAACCAAAGCAATTAAGCAAAAACCTTCATATTCCAAGTAGAACGACTCAATTCAAATTGGCCAGTGCTTTATACATATTGGTTACCCCGGACCTATTTCACTTGCTGAACAAATCCCTATCTCGACCCACAAATGCAAGGAAAATCTATTCCCTCATCAAATCCCAGCGATAGCGGTTTGGCTTTAGGTTAATTATTTTCCATCTTTCTTCACGATTTTTCTCTATAGGATTAGAAAAGCAGTGTTGGAATAGGAGGATGAAACCGACTTGCCTTGAACTTGAAAGTCATCAGCGGGTCGCAAGTTCCGAACTTTCTGTCTTCGATAGAAAGAAGAGAAAATTGGGGTTATTTTGTGCCTAGGGGAACGAGAGAAAGGATTAGTCATCTTTCTTAATGTAGAAGAGTGCGGATTGTTGCATAAGTCTTTTAAGATATCTGATTTTCTCATATGGTTACATAACTGATACTTTTAAATCTAGATATGTCCAGCACATTGAACCTGATTTCTATGTTAGGAAACCAGGGAAGTTTCTCTAATTATTATTGGCTCCTCAAGTTATATAACTTATTATAATTCATAAGTTTGTGCTTCCATGGCTAACAGTAGTCATTAGGGGTGGGAAACGGTCCGGTTTGGTTAAAACCGGACCGAATTGACCCGGTTTTTTGAAATCGAATTGAACATGTACACAACCGAAGACGGGATTGGATTGATGCACGGTTTTAACCAAACCGGATTGTATGCAATACGGTTTTAACCGGAAAACCGGAACACTCAAATAAACTAAATAACGACAACGTTTAAACTGACCTGAGAAAAAAAAATCGACGACCTCGCAACTCGCTCCCAAAACCCAATTCCTATCTATCGCTTTCACAAATCTCGCATCTCTCTCCCAAATCCCAATCCCTATCTCTTTCCCCAATCTCGATTCGATCTCAATCTCATATCTCCTTCTCCTCCTCTCACTTCTTCACGACGACAGCTCTTGATGAATGATTCTTGATGGCTGGTGGGCGACGAACGACGTGGGAGATCTGAACGGGCGGCGGTACGGAGGTGGAGGCCGAGAGACATTTGCATGCCTCTTACGAGTGGCGCGATTCACTGCCGGCAAACGGGAGTCACCTAACTGGGATGTAGAGAGGCGATTTGCGATGGGATGGGGTTTCTTCTTCTTCTTTTTCTATTTCGTGTGTGTGTTGCAGAGGAGAATGAGAGAGGGGAGAGAATGAGGAGAGGCGGCGTTGATTTGAGGCTTGGCTGGGGACTGAGGTTGATTTGCGGAGAATGGGAGGGGATAAAATTAGGGTTGGGCTTGGCGGGCCTGGCCTGGCCTTGGGGTTGGCTGTCACTTGCTTTGGGCTTGATTTTGGGCTGGTGTGGGCTTGGTTTGGGGCTGGTGTGGGTTTGGTTTGGGCTATCCGGTTTTAACCGGATTGGACCGGGGTGGTGTGCACTACAACCGGAAATTGGATTGGGTTGATGATAATCCAGTTTCGGTGGCAACCAGGCCGGTTTTAACTGTCTGGTTTCCGGTTTGACCGGAAAATTGGAACTGGATTCCCACCCCTAGTAGTCATGCATGACTTGCTAGGGTCCCTGCTTCCCTGGTAACAACCCCTTCAACATTTTTGAACTCTTTGGTGGGTGGTTTTGAGGCCAAGTAGTTTAATTTATAGGATAACGAGTGATGATCATATGGTGAAAATTAAAGTGGGTTTGGAAAGTGATGA